CCTGATTGGATGTATGTATGATAGTGTGTTTGTGTGAGGTGCGTTCGCTCAAAGCTCATCCGTACTTACATATTCGCACCAGACTTTGCGTTGTCCAAGCACAATAAGGTTAAAAGTCAGCAGAGAGTTTTCCACGTAACAGGACTGCAGAAGGTAACTTCATGATAGGCATATGAACGACAAAGGCTGGTGTTTTGGCCAAACATCACAGATCGAACCTCGACCGAAAACTGGCGTTCGTGGTCTCCTGGACCCAACTGCAAGTGTACCCCGCGATTGCTTGTTTGCTGTTGGTCCGCTCTTGACGGAGATATGGTACATGTCGTACCTGACCTTCTACTCCCGGTCAAGTCAAGGAAACGGCCTTAAATGTTCGCATGTACACAGTATTTCACTCTGTACCCTCGCAACCCGAGCTTGTGTGTACTACTTGTTATTGCTTTGTGCATCACGCTACTAAGCAACGGTGGAAAACGTACGGAGATGCCTCCATGGACCATGCAATATAGTCTAATTCAGACTAACGCCAATATAGGCGAGGTTCCCAGGAATAGCAGTAAAATCAACAGCAGTTTGATCCAAGCAACCCAATCGCACCTGAACGAATATATCGTCGGACGGCATCGATTGTCCCCAATCATCCCTCCCCCAGCACCGCACCGGCCCGCCGAAGTCAACGCCGGGCCGATATTCCAAGGCGCACGTGTGATGCCCTCCAACGGCTACGGTAATGGAATCAACGTCATCATGGAACCCCTCGGGAAGATCCTCGAAGACGACCTCCTGCCTTTCGGCTGCTAGGTCGGCGAGGGTGGCGTCTCGTCGATCGCTTGTCAATGATGGTTCGGCCGCCACTCGAACCTCCAGCGACCGATCTACGACGAGAACGCAAGTGACCAAGATCCGAACCACAGCGGAACAGGACAACCTCGTCGCTGGATCGCCCCACCGACGTCTCATGGTCGAATCTCCGGTGAATCCTGGCTGCCGGTAGGCCCTACGACGCCCGCTGCTGCGCAATGGGTATTTCCTTGCGTCAGAGAGACACCTCGACGCCTCGACCCAGGAGGTTGCGCCGCTTTTCCACGACAAAAAAAAAACGGTTTCACCGACAACAGATTCAAAATCTTGCGTATCTTACTTATAAATGTTCGCACACCGGATACCGGATCCAACAAATTTGCTTCCTTCTCGTGAGCGCTAAGATTACCCACAACCTCAGCAGCAAAGCACGCGAGCTCAAACTAGCAAGAGACTCACTGAGCGTAAGAATAATGTCCTCTGCCATGTGGGCATCAGATGATGATGGGCAGGATGACGTCGGCAACGGTTCACCTCTAACCCCCAACTCGCCGCCGTCCGAGCACAAAGATAGCAGCAGCGGCGGCGGCAGGCGCTCGCGGCGTCCCCGGCCGGGACGAGACGACATCGACGCAGCAGCGGCTGAGAAGGACAGGCCACCGGTGAAGACCGTGGCGGGGGGGTAGGTCAATACCCTGGATATGGCCTAACAAGGGCTTGAGTCCCCAAAACTACGTGGACCAACAACGCAAAAGTTCTGTTACAGTTGGCGCCGTGACGTCAACGTCGTGGGTGTGCCTATGTCACATCCGCAAACCAATCCATTGCCTGCTTCCGTTCTGTTATATCTCCACTCATAGATGGGAGCTTGACGGTGCGGGATCTACCAGTAGTGAAGCGCAGAGAAAATCTGGAGGCCACACGACGACAACACAGCAGAAGCCAATTGAAGGGTGAGACGTAGAATGTCTAGACTACAGAATGTACTGCACGTGGATCAGGGGGCGCTCCAGTCCACCCGACGATTGCATCCGTTGTCTAAAATATGCATGTAGGGTTAGGGTTGATAGACACAATACGCCTCATCGAATGAAACACGCACATAAAGGAACAATATCCTATGTTCATGAGTGTTCATGAGTGTATTGTCGGCATGCTGGTGCACATGTATGTCCCAGAACAGTAAGTACGTATGTGCAGCATACTCCATCGGTAACCACACTCACTCGAAATTCACTCTCCTCGAAAATTACAAGGAACAGGTTCGTGTAGTGGTGCGTGGATGGTGGCTCGTACAGCAGCAGCAGACTGGTCCATTCTCGCATGCGCGTGCACAGTAGATGGGCTTAATATGACCTAAAAGAACCATCGGTCCTTTCGAGCAGTGATGCATATGCACTGGTGTTGTCAATCTATAGAAAGATAAGATTTATTTGTTGTGTTGTTGTCTTTGGACTGTAGACGAAGAGGAGATGAGTTTTTAAACATACTGTACATATGTTTCCCGTGAAAATACGGATTGCGGGTGACTCTAGGCTATGAAACAATTGACTTGTCCACGCCCGCCCGCCCACAATCTGGACGTATCTGATCTGCAGCGGGAGCAATAGGGCCAACAGGCGAAACCACTTCGACAATGAAGAAACTGAGATCCTTGTGATCCCCGACCTGGAGGATGAGGGAGAAGAAGACGTCGAAACAAAAGGTGAGTCACTACATATGCATACACACATGCGTCTCGGTAAATACAACCAACTCTTGCAGCCACCGTCTCAACAGAAACGCAATCAATCAATCTTCACGGCACGAGGATGAGGGTGCTTCTCGGAGTCATTTAATCATTTGATACCGCATGATGAACCGCCGAATGCCATTTTCAAACACAATTAATCGTCTGGCCGAGGAAACACTCCAAACTGCACATGTGCAGCATCATTTCGCTCGGAATATATACATGCTGAGCTCAATCTTCTCCGCTTACATTTTGTTCTGAACGATGCATCACTTGCAAAACCGCTTGCCCTCGGAAGTTGCCGCCGCTCCGCAAAACACAACGAGACGGGTGCCCTCTCTGCGAGAGCTAGACGAGGATCTCAAGTACGCCATTCCATCTGGCGCTGATGGACTCGACATGAGCCTGTTGACCAAGACCCTGGTTCCGCCGGAGATGGTGAGAGAGAGTAGCCCATACATTCGATATTCCGAGCCTCTTTACTCTGTTGGCTAGCAATAAGCAAACGTGTCGTGGAAAGTCACTTCGGTTTAAGTTCTTGCCGTAGGTGGTCCATGGTTACTCTTTCAGACCAGCAGGCACACAATTACATTGAGAGGCATTCACTCTCGAGCTAACCTGCCGTGAAATAAATGTGATACCCCAACCTCTTCGGAAACGGCATTTAGAAAAGGCCAAGTGTGTCGGGTTGTCAAGACGGCGAAAAGCTCGTCTCACGCTCCCCACGGGCTGGCCGGGAGGGGATACCCTCAGAACAGGTGTTTGGGGGAAACACCGCAGAGGAACACCTCGCGGTCAGTCTCCTCCCTGGGTTGTAAATAATTGTTTATGTCCCCTACAGCATACACACACGTGCGCCTCCGTGAGGGCATTCTAGAGTTTGCAGGCAGCGCCACAGAAGTTCACGACGTGGACATCCGACAAACTCGACATTTTAATCCGGTCGTTTTGATGTGACCCCCCGGTATGAAAAATAGCCCTTTCAAAAAAACTTTTAACGTTTGGCGATACAAGCTCCACGCGCGGGTTCGAATCCCAGCTACTCACTTTCCCAAGTACCATTAAGTTCTTTTCAGGCAGCGTCTGGCGAGGGATCCGTCCCCGGAGATCCCTGCTCTCAATAGGCCATAGAACCCCAAGTGATCCAGCCGGGTGCTAATGAGCTGAGCGTTTATCTTTTGTAAGATAAAGTTACACCATTAGACTAGTCAGGGCTGACTAGTCTTAACGGTGTAACTTTATCTTACACAATGTGTGTTATCGTCTGCTGTACGATGTCGATGTCTTGGGCAGTGCAGACGACCAACGAGGCGTGTTTCATTGTTTTTTTGCGTTACCTTTTGGTAAACTAAGGCTCCTGATTTCGTTTGGGTGTAAATTTAGTCCCCCATCCTTGAACATTCCTCGTTGGGTCCCAATCGGACGATGCGATGACCGCCTGCGGAACTCCCAGCGAAAAAAGAAATTACTTCGCAAGTTTTTTCATGGTTTTTAGTGCCGCCGTGCGCTTCCAAGGGTTGCTTTAGCCCCCCCCGCTTCTGCCCACTCTCAAACGTGAATGGCGATCGTTATCGTCACATCTAGCTGGAAGAGGATGATAGCCCATGGGAGTTCGACAGTCTGCTGCAGTCCGTCACGCAAGAGTTCAACGCGGAGAAACGGTTGGCGTTCCGCGCGAATCTTGGAACCGACGATGATGATGGAAGCACCGCGACTACTTTTGGAAGGCGGTCAAGTTCGCAGGAGCAGGAAGGATCGCGATCATCAAGCCGTGCCCTAGTTGCTTGATACAAAATCGATTGGGGGGCAGAATTTCCGAGCAATTCTACGACAGACAGGCTGCTGCTGGTGTGATTGATTTTATACAAGCAAGCGGTACGGTGCGGTATTTCGTCCGCAGGAGATGAGGAACATGAGCAACACGTACGGTACTGTTGAGTGTGCCACGCGTTGATCGGAGAGATAAGGAGCTTGTATGGACAAGAAAGAGAGATGAAGCCTTCACGGCACATCACGTGGTGTAGGAAGGAACACGGCAAGGCATTTGGTTTAGAGGTTTAGATGGAAACTACACGGCTTTCGGGGTTGTTTCAGCCCACGCTCTTGTTGCGGAAAATGGCCGTTTTGCCATCTGAGGTCAGGTGCATTCGATGCTCGACGAAAATAAGAAATGTCCGTCACAAGTACGCTGCCTCGTCCAGTAAGTAGTACAGTGGACCATTTTTATCTTTGCGCCATAGCACATTGCGAGGTGCTTGTCCCGTTGCCCCCAGACCGACAAAAACAACAGGGTAGACAACACAACGAGATGGTACCCAACAGAAGCACATATGGGCTTTAGAATTGAAGTAGGAACAGACGTAAACACGGTGCAAATTACTTTCAACACAGGTCGTTGGCCTCAATGTGCTTCATCGCAAAAGGCGTCTCGATCTGCCCGCGCGCCACCTCTGTGCGTAAAACACGTTGTTAGCACCAAGAACACGTCGTTAGCACCAAGGTGAGCCTTTCGCAACACTAGCGTCACCCCTCTTGCATTATGCCATGAAAACAACGCGGCTTGTACGGAAAAATTCTATGGGGTCGCACGTGCCATCCGAGCAAAAGTGGCACTGATCTTTGTGTTTCAGCTCTTTAAGGGAACGAACGGATGAAGATGCATAATGTCTTCCCCGAGCCGACCGCAAAGCGACAGCCAGAACAGCCCGGGCGCGACGCGCTTCACACTTAATTCCACACACGGGTTAAGTTCAAAGGACGAGAGGAGAACCCACAACAACGATGTCCACCGAATATTGGGGGTCCCGCCAACGACTCTTCCAGACTGCGATCAAAGCCTGACATATCTTACGTACATTATCGGCGCTGCATGGAGCTGGACCCAAGCGCTAGCATACGCTGTCACGCTTTCAACGGCTTGCGCATAGAAGCACTGCCCGCACCACAGGGAGTACCACAAAACACCCATAGCACCTACCATGCCCTTCCAGAGTCACTCACCCTGGTTTGCTCATACTTATACTGAACCAACTCGCTCTCTTCCATAAGCCAGAATGGCAGTCAATCCGACCCTCCCGCCCGGCCGTCCCATCCTCTCTTGCAAGGGAACCTCTCCAGAGCCCGATTCAACAACGACTACCGCTTAACCTAGAGCATGACGGGGCACCATGAATACGGCACTTGCAAACCAACGACCCCAAGCTACGGTTGCAACAAAATCTACCCATGGTACGGATACGATACCAACCACAAGGCAGCGGCGAGCAAGCAACTACCAGTTGTAAGACATGCTCTCCGAAGCAGCCGCTTCCGTCTCCTCCTCGTACTCCACTTCCACGTACGGGCGCGACGGTTTCGCCTTCGGTTGCCGTTTCGCCTTTTTCGTGGTTGCGCCGCCTGTAGCCCCGCTTCGTCGCTTCGGTCCGTCACCACCCTCGCCACCCCTCTCTCCTTTGCCGCTCCTCGCCTTTCGTTTGCCCTTCCCGACACCACCACCCTCCTGCTGCTCCTCGTCTTCATCGTCGTCGGTCATGTTCGATCGGGGAGGGGAGAAGGGGAGCAAGGGAGAGAGGGGGTATAATTGAAAATACTAATGCATAGGAAATAGGTCAATAAGTCTAAATGGTGCAATGTGTTGTGTTGCCAAAAAACACGATATAAAGAGCAGGATAGTCCGCCAAGGGATTGCAAATCGCCCAACTTCTTCACCAAAGGGGGACTAACATGCAAGTGCTCCTGCGCCAAGTATCCTACAGTGGCGCAAAAAGCATAGCGATATTGCAGCGGTACTGAACCAGGAGTGGCATGGGAAAGGGTGATGGGAACTGCCACGGTCAAGTCAAGACCCAAGCCCGATCGATTGCACCACCGAACCCGCCAGCTTTGTCCCATCCAACGATATCTGCTCGAGACAGCCCGCATTTCTGTGAAGGTCGTGCGTGCGTACCGACGGGCATGGGTTCAGAACCTAAACGTTTCGCCCATGTGTGGATACCATGGTGCTTGGAGAAGCCTTGACACGTACGGGAAAGGCAGCGCGTAAGGCGGTGTGTTTTTGTGATTTTGTGATGATAATTTGTGTGCTCTGGTCATTAAATCCCCGGTGCATCATGGGGGCCGAGGTGTATATCATGGCGGGTACAGCTGAAGATTTGGAAGCACTGAAGGAGGAGAGATCGTAGCGATCTTCAGCTCTGATCGCCTTCCTCTCCTCCTTAGTGCCTCCAACTCTGCAGCCGCACCCGCCATGATTCACACCTCGAGCCTCATCATGTACCGGCGTCCGAAGGTTTAAATGACCAGCGCACACACCCATAACCACAAAGCACACAACACACACAACCCCAGGCTGCCGTTCCGGAGTGTCACGGCTCGCACACACAATAAATAAAAGGCTGGTTTTAGCTGCACGCCTCGGTAGCACGTCACACACGAAGAGGATATTGTACCAAAATCAAACGATACATGATGCCCTTTTCCGGAAGGCTGCCAACGACACCGACGGTTTCACGCCACCATTGTCAGCACCGACACCGTTTGTAGAAGTTCACCTTTGAAAAACTGTCCATGAGGCGTCATGAAAGTGTCACCTACGGTAGCATTACTCGTAATGCCCGATCGGAAGCACAGCAAATATCGTCGACCGTCGCGTGCATCAAAAGTTGCTGCTCGCCCAAAAAAAAAAACAGCCCCTATGCATACAACTCATCAACGCTCGTAGTCGTAAACATACTTATGCTAGGAGTCAACACCAGTGAAAGGGGGCAGAGCAACTCTCACCATCGTCTTCGTCGCTATCGCTATCCCCGCCTCTTGCCGCCTGCGGGCCGCCCGCCGATCCCGGTGCCCCCCAGAATGAGCCCCCCCACTCCGCCGTGTCTTCGATATCACTCTCGTCCTCCTCGAGGTCCTCCACATACTCCACCTTGTTGAGGCACGCAGATCGATCGGAACGAGGGGGGGGGGGGGGGGGGGG